AAGTTACGTATTGCTTTGGGATGTTAGTTTAGGTTGGGTTTGCTTGGTTTGACAGGGTTATGATAAGTTATGTTAGAATTTTTAGGTTTGGTTATATATATAACTTGTGTTGTGGTGGTTAGGTTAGAGTAATTTAGGTTACGCTTGGGTGAGTGAGGTTGCTTGTTAGGTTAGGTTATGATTAGGTCAGTTGAAGTTAGATTAGCTTAGGTTAGATAAGGTTGAGTTAGGTTGGGTTGGTTATAAACAGGTTAGGTTAGTTTTAGAGATTAGCTTAGGTTAGGTGAGGTTGGTTAATCATCAGGTGACTCAACTATTGTTATCCTTTGTGTTACCTCTGTCATATCTCTTTTATCTTCAGTTGTAAGTTATCAGGTGAGAGATAGCGGTGATAAGCCAGACTCAAGTGTTTGAACGTGCATTGTGGTAGTCGTTGTTTTATGAGCGCTCCATGGACCTCATAGATGTTTTTCTGTGCTGCATTGCAGCGATCGACGGTGTATTTATATTCTCGATGTTGTGTTTGAAGAGAAATAGATTGTTTTAGTCTCGTTTGGTAAGTTTAACTCTTTTATGGGGTGTCTGCCTGAATAAAAATCATCTGGCGCCGGGTCAAATAATACATCGAAAGTGATGTCTCCAAGGTGAAAGGAATTAACACTGATAATGACTTAACACTGAGGAAATCCAGCCACTGGTGATGTGTGTGGTGACAATATTGACAATTTTATCTGGAGAAGTGTGAAGCGGTTGTGTTTCTAAAGAGTTATCGGGCCGCAATACTTCCAGACATATAACATCGCCTGAGTCCCATTCGAAGATGACGACCGGACGATCATAAATTCCAGCGATGCTTATGTACAACGAGCCTTGGCGTAAGTTGTAGTTATGGTCTGTCGATCTCGCCCCTTAATGCCTTGTCTGTGTCTAGAGAGTCGGGTAGGTCTTGGTTTAGGGCTAGAGGTTAAGCCGCTGATGATCCATTCCAAAAAATGAAAATCTAGGACTACTCTCACTGTCTTTTTTTATTGGAGGACTTTACGCTCAATTGTATTCTGAAGAACGTCATGACTTACCTCAGTAGATCAAAATAAAACATCTGGTCCTGTCACATATTTTAGTCCATGTGTCCTTCAGTTATCTCCATATTGCTTCAGTTATTCCATGTGTGCTTCAGTTATCTCCATATTCCTTCAGTTATCTCCATATTGCTTCAGTTATCTCCATATTGCTTCAGTTATCTCCATGTGTGCTTCAGTTATCTCCATATTGCTTCAGTTATCTCCATGTGTGCTTCAGTTATCTCCATATTCCTTCAGTTATCTCCATATTGTTTGAAGTTATTCCATATTGCTTCAGTTATTCTCATGTGTGCTTCAGTTATCTCCATATTCCTTCAGTTATTCCATATTGCTTCAGTTATCTCCCATGTGTGCTCAGTTATCTCCATGTGTGCTTCGTAGTTATCTCCATATTGCTTCAGTTATTCCATGTGTGCTTCAGTTATCTCCATGTGCTTCAGTTATTCCATATTGCTTCAGTTATCTCCATATTGCTTCAGTTATCTCCATGTGCTTCTTAGTTATCTCCATATTGCTTCAGTTATTCCATATGTGTGCTTCCAGTTATCTCCATATTGCTCAGTTATTCCATGTGTGCTCTAGTTATTCCATATGTGTGCTTCAGTTATCTCCATATTGCTTCAGTTATCTCCATGTGTGCTTCAGTTATTCCCCATATTCTTCAGTTATCTCCATATTGCTCAGTTATTCCATGTGTGCTTCAGTTATCTCCATATTGCTTCAGTTATTCCATATTGCTTCAGTTATCTCCATATTGCTTCAGTTACTCCATATTGCTTCAGTTATTCCATATTGCTTCAGTTATTCTATGTGCTTCAGTTATTCCATGTGTGCTTCAGTTATCTCCATATTGCTTCAGTTATCTCCATATTGCTTCAGTTATTCCATGTGTGCTTCAGTTATCTCCATATTGCTCAGTTATCTCCATATTGCTTCAGTTATCTCCATATTGCTTCAGTTATTCCATGTGTGCTTCAGTTATTCCATATTGCTTCAGTATTCCTATATTGCTTCAGTTATCTCCATGTGTGCTTCAGTTATCTCCATATTGCTTCAGTTATTCCATATTGCCTTCAGTTATCTCCATATTGCTTCAGTTATCTCCATGTGTGCTTCAGTTATCTCCATGTGCTTCAGTTATCTCCATATTGCTTCAGTTATCTCCATATTGCTTCAGTTATCTCCATATTGCTTCAGTTATCTCCATATTGCTTCAGTTATTCCATTGCTTCAGTTATCTCCATGTGTGCTTCAGTTATCTCCATATTGCTTCAGTTATCTCCATATTGCTTCAGTTATCTCCATGTGCTTCCAGTTATCTCCATATTGCTTCAGTTATCTCCATATTGCTTCAGTTATCTCCATATTGCTTCAGTTATCTCCATGTGTGCTTCAGTTATTCCCATGTGTGCTTCAGTTATCTCCATATTGCTCAGTTATCTCCATGTGTGCTTCAGTTATCTCCATGTGTGCCCTAGTTATCTCCATATTGCTTTCAGTTATCTCCATATTGCTTCAGTTATCTCCATATTGCTTCAGTTATCTCCATATTGCTTCAGTTATCTCCATATTGCTCTTTGATTCCATATTGCTTCGAAGTTATCTCCATATTGCTTCAGTTAACAAATTATATCATGTGGACTGTATTGTCACAAGTTTGCTCAAGACAGTTCCTCGAGCTATCAGAATGGGGTATTGACATGTCTGGGAATGTTATTGTTGAAGTTTTAGTGTCTACTTTAGTTAATATATTTAGTATTTACTGTATTTAGTTTGTTATTATTAGTATTATAACTTTATTGGTATCTTTGGGCATCAGTCTGGATAACCACTATTGTTCACTTAAATTTTAATATCAATTGTATTTTTATTCAGATGCTTCACTACTTTTATTAACTTTTAAATGTACTTTGACTTTTAATTAACCAACATAAAGAATTAAATAGTACTTTTAGTTGAGAAAGTATTTTTATCAGAGTAATTTAACTTCTACCCAAGTAAGTTTTCTATGTATAATGCACTTGGTCCACTCTCTCTTCCCGCCCATCACAAAATATTAATCAGATTCTATCACATATTGTATTGAATTTTATATCAATATAATAAACAGTAAATAAAACCTCTCGAGCACCATTACATCAAATTGAGACATTTTACAACAATAATAAATCGGGAATATCTGCGATTTTTGAATGCGCCACATTCAAGTATATTTTTTCACATTCGACTAGATCTACTAAAATGGTAAGAAAACAATTCATAAAAGGTGATGATTTGATAACAGAAAATAACTCTATTTTGTCTTTATTATTGAGGAAAGTCTTCAAGTGACCATTAAATATTAACTTTTTCTCTTCAATGGCCGCCACTGTCCAGCTAGGCTTCCTTTCTTTTGGTGGGGTTGAGACTTCCATTTCCTCAATAACAAGTTTGTTTACAAGCAGCTCGTCAAGGGAAGCCAGCGATCACCATCTGTGGAATAAACCTCCTTCAAACTACATAAATTACATCTTTTTATTTTCATGATCAAATTGTATATAAATGTAAATATTGAAATTAATATTCATAATTTTATTGAGGTTATTCAGCCAAAAGACCATTTTATATGATAAACCCCTGCTATTTTTAGCGCTGTTTAGAGGTACTTGACAAACAACTATTTGTGCGGTAAAAGTTTGCTAGTTAAGCTTTGTGCATAACTTTTACATTTTACTTCTAGCTAACTTTACTATAATGTCACTAGCATAAAAGTTTTGTGTATCCGCCCCTGGTTCCCATTATACAACAATACTGCTTTCAAACTAACTTGGAGGAATCTATAAAAGCTGATTCCTCTGGTCAGGTGTTTCTCGGCTCTGACATCAGTACACACAGAGGGACTCCTGCCTACTGTAACATGAAGATAATGTAATATTTCTTTCCTAAAACATAAATTATTGTCTGTTTTTTAGCTGCAAGTTCCATTCCTGCAGTCTTGATGCTAAAAGTTCCGCCCGCTGTTTTGACAGACAGAGATCACATAAGATCATTAAGTTCACTTTGTTCTATAAGATTGGGTCATTGGGGGTCAGTCCGCCAATGAGAGGAGGACCAGTGGAGGATTCTGGGATTTCTTCTTCCTCAGTTTCCTCATCCAAAGTTGAGAGCTCTTCCAAATTAGCCGGTGGTGTAGGTGTAGGAGGCCTTATTGCGAAGGTATATTTGGATACTCAATATGGTGAATTAACACAGCCTACGTATATTCTCTCCATTCTCCTGTTATGTGTTGCTAACCTTGCATTTAATATATCGACCAACACAAGTATGTATCTTATAATCCTACACTATATTATATGGACACCATAAAATGTTAATTAACACATTTATTATTGCCATATTTGAAATCTGCTCCAAATTAATAAAATGCAGCGTATATGATCCCGCTACCGAACCCCGATCAACTTGTGTAAATGGTTCGCAGATGGGGAGGAGGTGGAAACGCGGGCAGGAGATGGTCGAGAGGACAGAGTCGAGATACTGAGATGAACAGCGTGACGAAAAATGACCAGTTATAGATCACATGACACGGCACTAACTCGTGAACCTTTATCTGATAGGTCACACACTGTTGTCTCTGGTGAGTGTAGTAGTGGGGTAGTTAGGGTGAGGTTAGGTTAGGGTAGACTAGATTAAGTTAAAACTAGATTAGGTTAAACTAGATTATGTTAGACAATATTAAGTTAGACTAGATTAAGTCAGACTTGATTCATTGAGATTAAAGTAAACTTAACTAGATTAAGTTAGACTAGATTCGTTAGACAATATTAAGTTAGACTAGATTAAGTCAGACTTGATTACGTGAGATTAAAAGTAACTAAACTAGATTAAGTTAGACTAGATTAGGTAGGACTATATTAGGTAAGACTAGATAAGGTTAGACTAGATTAAACTAAACTAGATTAAGTTAGATGATTTTTATCTCTCCCCACAGACTCCCACACGGAAAACGGCGCTGGAGGAGGGCGGGAGCACTGGCAGCCAGGATCAACTCTGTTACCCTGGGCGCCCGGAGGCCCAGTTCCCGCCACGGTCCACTCGACACTGACCTGCGCCGGGAGTTAGATCATGCGTCGCGCTCTTTGCAGTACGGTCATGGCCGAAGAAGATTGAGACAGTCATGCAGGAAGTTATAGAGTGAGTATTAGGGCTATAGGGTCTTGTTCTAGCTGTAATAGGGTCTTGTACTAGCTGTAATAGGGTCTTGTTCTAGCTGTAATAGGTCTTGTTCTATAGGTCTTGTTCTATAGGGTCTTGTACTAGCTGTAATAGGGTCTTGTACTAGCTGTAATAGGGTCTTGTTCTAGCTGTAATAGGGTCTTGTTCTATAGGGTCTTGTACTAGCTGTTATAGGGTCTTGTACTAGCTGTAATAGTGGTGTTAGTTGAATAGAATATTAAATTACGTCCCATAGTGAAGGGTGTTAGGTTGTAGCTGTGTTAGGTCTGGATGTGCTATTTCTAGTTTTGTCATCACTCTTTTCACACCAGGAACGTACCTTCGAAGAGCCTGCAGCGAGATTATACCTCGATCAGCTGCTGCTCGCATTTGGCTGCGTGGCGAACACTGCCTGCCGTCGTCTTCCCGTACACTCTTACGCGTGGGAATGCGATCGTCAGGGAGTGGAATGGGGCGCGACCGACACAAGTTCAAACAAGATCCCAGTAAAAGCAAAGGGTAAATATGTATTAGAAACTGTCTATAGTTAACCTGAACCCTCCTCCGATAACAAACGCCGTCATAACTACATCCTAACCAACAACCGCCTCATTACCAAGTGGGCACGAGATCGAACATAGACGGAGAGCGATTCAGGAGCGCGGGATCTGGCGAGAGTTTATATTCTGCTTGGTGCTGATCGAGGTCCTCGTCAACTGTCGGTTCACCGAGGCACGACGACCTGGTGAAGCACATTGAGGACATTGCCTTCAAGCACTTTAAGTATAGAAGGGTGAGTTATAGGGTGACTGTCTGTGGTTTAAACTAACACACTTTGACGTTGGTGGGTTAAATTAGCACCTTGAGGACGGTGGTTTAAATTATCACCTTGAGGACGGTGGTTTAAACTACAGTATAACACCAAGAAGATGATGGTTTCGGTACAACAATTTGAGGATGATGGTTTAAACTATGACCTCTTGAAGGATGATGGTTTAAACTATGACCCCTTGAAGGACAATGGTTTAAACTACAATCTCAGTGCAGTTAAACCATCATCCTCAAAGGGCTAATTAAACCTTATGTGTTATATCAGTAGTGTGTGGCAGGTGTGTGATAGTAATAATGTGTCATTATATCATGTAAAACTGTGGCATCAATTACACTTTATTGAAGGTTTTAAGGGACAAATATATTCATGTATATTTATGTATACTTTTATGGATGTAATAAATAATAATAATTAACGGTTTATTGAAAGAACATGACAGCCAGAAGGGTGACAATATACAGTTACATAATTGGTGATATGGGTCACTTGATTGACCAATAATATACAAGTAACATAAATATAATAACTAGGTGGGGAGAAGGTCATACTACAGGCCAGTTCAACAAGTGACAGTACAAAAGGTAGTGGGGAAAGGTCATACTACAGGCCAGTTCAACATAGTGACAGTACAAAAGGTAGTGGGAAGAGGTCATACAGGCCAGTTCAACATAGTGACAGTACAAAGGTAGTGGGGAGAAGGTCATACTACAGGCCAGTTCAACATAGTGACTGTACAAGGTAGTGGGGAGAAGGTCATACTGGCCAGTTCAACATAGTGACAGTACAAAGGTAGTGGGGAGAAGGTCATACTACAGGCCAGTTCAACATAGTGACAGTACAAGGTAGTGGGGAGAAGGTCATACTACAGGCCAGTTCAACAAGTGACTGTACCAAAAGGTAGTGGGAGAAGGTCATACTACAGGCCAGTTCAACAAGTGACTGTACAAAAGGTAGTGGGAGAAGGTCATACTACAGGCCAGTTCAACAAGTGACTGTACAAAAGGTAGTGGGAGAAGGTCATACTACAGGCCGTTCAAGCAAATATAGTGACTGTACAAAGGTAGTGGGGGAGAAGGTCATACTACAGGCCAGTTCAACATAGTGACAGTACAAAAGGTAGTGGGGAGAAGGTCATACTGACAGGCCAGTCTAACAAGTGACTGTGTACAAAAAGGTAGTGGGGAGAAGGCTCAGCCTGCAGCCAGTTCAACATAGTGATCAGCCAAAAGGTAGTGGGGGAGAAGGTCATATCACAGGCCAGTTCAACATAAAGTGACAGTACAAAAGGTAGTGGGGGAGAAGGTCATACCACAGGCCAGTTCAACAAGTGACTGTACAAAAGGTAGTGGGGAGAAGGTCATACTACAGGCCAGTTCAACATAGTGACTGTACAAAGGTAGTGGGGAGAAGGTCACTTAAAGGTCAGTTCAACATAGTGACAGTACAAAAGGTAGTGGGGAGAAGGTCATACTACAGGCCAGTTCAACATAGTGACAGTACAAAAGGTAGTGGGGAGAAGGTCATACTACAGGCAAGTTCAACATAGTGACAGTACAAAAGGTAGTGGGGAGAAGGTCATACTACAGGCCAGTTCAACATAGTGACTGTACAAAAGGTAGTGGGGAGAAGGTCATACTACAGGCCAGTTCAACAAGTGACAACAGTGGGGAGAAGGTCATGACAGTACAAAAAGGTAGTGGGGAGAAGGTCATACTATAGCCAGTCTAACATAGTGACAGTATGTAAAGGTAGTGGGGAGAAGGTCATACTACAGGCCAGTTCAACAAGTGACTGTACAAAAGATAGTGGGGAGAAGGTCATACTACAGGCCAGTTCAACACAGTGACTGTACAAAAGGTAGTGGGGAGAAGGTCATACTACAGGCCAGTTCAACATAGTGACAGTACAAAAGGTAGTGGGGAGAAGGTCATACTACAGGCCAGTTCAACATAGTGACAGTACAAAAGGTAGTGGGGAGAAGGTCACACTACAGGCCAGTTCAACATAGTGACAGTACAAAAGGTAGTGGGGAGAAGGTCATACTACAGGCCAGTTCATGACTGCAAAAGGTAGTGGGGAGAAGGTCATACTACAGGCCAGTTCAACAGAGTAGTGACTGGTAAATAAAAAAGGTAGTGGGGGAGAAGGTCATACTACAGGCCAAAGGTTCAAGAGCAGGACAGTACAAAAGGTAGTGGGGGAGAAGGTCATACTACAGGCCAGTTCAACATATAGTGACAGTACAAAAGGTAGTGGGGAGAAGGTCATACTACAGGCCAGTTCAACATAGTGACTGTACAAAAGGTAGTGGGGAGAAGGTCATACTACAGGCCAGTTCAACATAGTGACTGTACAAAAGGTAGTGGGGAGAAGGTCATACTACAGGACAGTTCAACATAGTGACTGTACAAAAGGTAGTGGGGAGAAGGTCATACTACAGGACAGTTCAACATAGTGACAGTACAAAAGGTAGTGGGGAGAAGGTCATACTACAGGCCAGTTCAACATAGTGACAGTATAAAAGGTAGTGGGGAGAAGGTCATACTACAGGCCAGTTCAACATAGTGACTGTACAAAAGGTAGTGGGGGAGGTCATACTACAGGCCAGTTCAACATAGTGACAGTACAAAAGGTAGGGGAGAAGGTCATACTACAGGCCAGTCTAACATAGTGACAGTACAAAAGGTAGTGGGGAGAAGGTCATACTACAGGCCAGTTCAACATAGTGACAGTACAAAAGGTAGCGGGGAGAAGGTCATACTACAGGCCAGTTCAACATAGTGACTGTACAAAAGGTAAGATTGACTGGGAGTGATTACAAGTTATTGATAATTTTTACAATGGTTGGGACTGGGCTGTTCTTATATGTATAGTATGTATTTATGTATATATGTATGTATGTATGTATGTATGTGTGTGTGTGTGTGTGTGTATGTATAAATGGAATGGTATGTATATTTGTATGTATTTATATACCAAGATAAACATGGTTAACTGATATTGTACTCTAGGGGTAACTTTTTGTACTCAAGGGGGCTACCATCATCGTACTCAAGGGGTTAAGTATTAATTCAAAATGTCCGTGTCGCAGCGTCCAGAACAATCCCAACGGCGAGAACATCAACATCATCGCCGACCTGTACGCTGAGGTCGTTGGCGTCCTGGCCCAGTCGAGATTCCAGTCAGTGCGTCGACGCTTCATGGCCGAACTGAAGGAACTACGGTCGAGGGAAGCCTCGTCCGTCACAACACAGAGCATTACGTCTCTCCTGATGGGAATGAAGTTCTTTAGGGTCAAGGTTCGTTTGTGATTGATGTCTGTTCTGGGTCAAAGGTCAATGGTTAGGTTGGGTTGGGTTAAGTTAGGTTAGATTAGGTATGGGTTAGGTTAGGTTTAAAGATGTAGACTACATATACTGTATTACTCATTACAGATCTACAAATACAAAAACTACAGTAGTATAATATTAATTAAACAAATAATAATAATAATAATAATAATAATAATAATAATAATAATAATAATAATAATTATTATTAACTCCAGATCACCAGTAATTATTCACAATTATTTACTGTATAAAACAAAATAACTGATCTAACTAACTAAAACATGCTAGGTTAGGTCAGGTCAGGTCAGGTCAGGGTCAGTTTACATTTGTTATACAGTACCCATCCTGTTATTGCTTCTCTGGGGTCATATACTGTACACTCGTGGGTTAATAAGTTGTCTCCCTGGGGTGAAGCTCAGTCAGGGGGAATGGATCTCTGAACTGACTACAGCCTGACTTGTGCTGTTGTTTCAGTCTCATTAGGGGTTGATACTGCTTTAGTTTGGGACGGAACGAAAGCAGCGAACTGTAGAACCCCCACAACTGTACATTAACTACAGCTCCTTGACTTAATGATCCACTAAACAAATACCCCGATTCCCCCACCCCCCACCCCCCACCCCCCTTTCACCGCCAACCAGAGTACAATGTGGTAAATTTTGATCGAACTTTCGCCCGACAGATGGTGCCGATTGAGGAGTTCGAGGCGTCGTTCCAGTTCATGCAAGAGTGTGCGCAGTATTTCCTGGAGGTGCGGGACAAGGACATCAAACACGCCCTGGCTGGTCTCTTCGTGGAGATACTGGTTCCTGTGGCCGCGGTACGTAGGGTTTGTGTGGTGGCTCTTTCTAGTCCTTCCAGTCCTTCAACCTTCCAGTCCTTCAACCTTCCAGTCATTCCAATCCTTGCACCATCCAGTCCTTCAACCTTCTAGTATCTTCCAGTCATTCCAATCCTTGCACCATCCAGTTCTTCAACCTTCCAGTCCTTCCAGTCCTTCAACCTTCCAGTCCTTCCAGTCCTTCCAGTCCTTCAACCTTCCAGTATCTTCCAGTCCTTCCAGTCTCCCACTTCCTCTATCTCTCACTCCCCTGTGTCTAATTTACCACCATCTTGTCGTTCTACAGACGGTGAAGAACGAGGTCAACGTGCCGTGCCTAAAGTACTTCGTGGAGATGCTGTACTCGACCACCCTGGACATGGCCACTAAGAACAAGCACCGTCTGGCCATCTTCCCCCTGGTGACCTGTTTACTGTGTGTTTCCCAGAAGACTTTTTTCCTCAGTAATTGGCACTACTTCCTGGCCATGTGTCTGCAGCACCTCAAGAACCGCGACCCTAAGATGTCCCGCGTGGCTCTTGGTAGGTATCGGGGTGGTCAGGTCAGGTCAGGTCAGGTCAGGTTTACTTTACTTGTGGAGGAATGATGTCATGCTATCCGGCCAATCACAGTCTGGTTGATGGACTCTTTCCCAATTGTGTCGTTACTTTGGAAAATGATAATGATGATGATGATGATGATGATGATGATGATGATGATAATAATGACACTTAAGTTAACTATAGATGACTTTATCCAATAGAATCATTACATCAATATTGGTTAAATTCTTATGATTTTTTCTTACAGAATCTTTATATCGCTTAGTGTAGCTCAGTACAGGTGTCCTTATATCGCTTAGTTTGGTTAAATAATTGTGTGTTTTACTTGCTACAGAATCACTAAATCTCTTACTGTGGTTAAATAATTGTCTTTTACTTGCTACAGAAACAGTCCCGCTTACTGTGGTTAAATAATTGTGTGTTTTACTCCCGACAGAATCGCTCTACCGCTTACTGTGGGTGTACATGATCCGCATCAAGTGTGAGAGTAACTCGGCCACTCACTCCCGCTTGGCCAGCATTGTCAACTCGCTCTTCCCTAAGGGTTCCAAGGCCGTCGTACCCAGAGACACGCCGCTTAACATCTTCGTCAAAATCATCCAGTTTATTGCTCAGGTTCGTGGCTGATCAACTATATTCGGTTAGTTAGCTAGTCAGTCAGTCAGTCAGTCAGTCAGTCAGTCTATTAGTCAGTCAGTCAGTCAGTTAGTCACCCAGTCAGTCAGTCAGTCAGTCAGTTAGTCTATCAGTCAATCAATCAGTCAGTCAAATATAATTCCACCCCAACAGGAGCGTCTGGACTTCGCCATGCGGGAGATAGTGTTTGATCTACTGTCCGTCGGGCGGCAGATAAAGATCATCATGACCCCCGAACGGATGTCAATAGGCCTACGAGCCTTCCTGGTGGTGGCCGACAGCCTGCAGCAGAAGGAGGGGGACCCGCCCATGCCCCGTACTGTTGGCGTCCTTCCCTCGGGTAACACGCTCAGGGTCAAGAAAACCTTCCTCAATAAGGTCGGTGTTTGTCTGTTCGGGCTGTTGTCTTGTGAGGTTTACTGTGTCTCGTTTGTGTTTTTAGTTAATTAACTTAATAATAGTAATAATAAACTAATAATAATAATAATAATAGTAATAATAATAATAATAATAATAGTAATAATAATAATAATAATAATAATAATAATAATAATATCAATATCCACAGATGCTGACAGAGGATACGGCCAGAAACATCGGAATATCCGCTTACTATCCGCTCGTCCGTAAGTCCTTCAACGATATCCTCAAGGCCCTCGACAGTCAGTTCGGTCGACCACTCATGATGACAACAACGCAGAATGTCAACAAGGTGTGTGTGTGATGAGGTTAGATTAGCTTAGGTTAGTGCTAGGTTAGAATAGGTTAGACCTAGGTTAGATTATGTTAGGATCATGCTAGGTTAGGTCAGGTCAGGGTCAATATACTGCCTCCACACTCACATCACTTTCTTTAATTCCAGGAACCAGACGAAATGATCACTGGGGAACGCAAACCCAAAATCGACCTGTTCCGTACGTGTGTGGCGGCCGTGCCTAGACTCATACCAGATGGGATGTCTGGCAGGGACCTAGTAGACATGCTTGGAAGGCTCACCGTTCACATGGACGAGGAACTACGAGCCTTGGCCTTCCAGAGCCTTCAGAATCTCGTGTTGGATTTCCCCGAGTGGCGTCACGATGTTGTCTATGGTATGTGGTCAGGGTGGATGGGGTGTGTGTGTGTGTGTGTGTCAAACCTCCATCTTATCAACTATTAGTGAAGGGAAGACCATTAAATCAAGGTTCCTTCAAATGTTTCTCCATAAAATCGCAATTTTTTTTTTTATTATACAATTCTATAAATTCTGGATAACCTCAATGGCACACAACGCCTTACTGTTATTATTATTATTCCAGGATTCATACAGTTTATTGTGAAGGAAGTCGGGGACACCTCTACTCAGCTGCTGGACAATGGGGTGAGGATGTTACTTCAGCTGCTCACCGCCTGGAGGAACGCTCTCACCAACTCCATCACCACCATTAATGCCAACAAACGTGACCCGGGTGTTGGAGACCTTCACCATCTACATCTACATCAGGTATATATACAGTAGACTCTTCCCTTCAGTAAGCTGTCGGTGGCTAGCTTGCAAACATTTTCCCTCGGCACAACGAGTCGCCCCACGTAGCATCTCGTGTTGTACTCTCAAATCTTTAGTGTTTCTGTGTGAAATGGTCCCTAAAAGACTGTCTAGTGTCAGTGATACGAGAGTGAAATGTAAAGGCACAAGTCGGTGATGACCCCGACAAAGAAAGTAGAATTATCAGACAAGGTAAAGGAGGGGTGATTGGTGCTGCAGCTGGCCAGTTGTTTGGTATAGGTATACAGTAGTGCACTAAGTTGCTATCCCTGGTTTGCGCCATTCCTTGGGTCCTAACCCTCGTGAATAACGGGTTTACTGTAGACGTCTATGCCAGGTATGTTTATATATATACTGTTATCTGTATAAACCTTACATCTTCACTAGGTGTATGTGTGTATAGGTCTTAACAAACTATATTTATTGTTTTTACACTTAAATTGGTTAACTAAAATATCATGTTCACTATTATTAATACGATACAACAAAACTAACCTCTACTTTCTGTGTTTTATTGTCACGTGATTGATGAGCAATTTAAATTATATAATAGATACCTGTACAGTGAAACCTCCATAAAGCGAACTTCCCTCTCCATATAGTCCATTAAATGGGGGTTTACATCTAACAGACCCTCGATATAACGAACTTCCCTTCATATAGTCCACTAAATAGAGGTTTCGCCGTACCATTCACTGTGTTTTCCGGCCCACAGAGAGGCGATCACAGCGATGTGTTACGATTGGCCGAAGGTTTTGCCCTGGTGTTGTTGTGCAGCTGTCGGCAGGCTCCTCGGCGGGTGGCGGTCGCTATACTGAGGGAGGTGAAGCTGTTGGCCAAGGAGCTGGGTGAAGAGGATGACGTCAACCAGCCTGTTATTGATGTTATGGACAGGTGGGTAGTGCTGACCTGACCTGACCCACCCTGACCTGACCTGACCTACCCTGACCTGACCTAACCTGATCTAACCAAACCTGTTATCTATGTTGTGGACTGGAGAGAGAGAGAGAGAGAGCGAGAGAGAGGGAGAGAGAGATCACAAACCAGGGCTCTGTTAATTCCATTTTCTCAACTCCAATTCTTTTTAAATAGTGTTTCCTTCAATTCCAATTCTCACATTCTCAATTTCAATTCCAATTTCTTCAATTCCAATTCTCACATTCCAATCAATTCCAATTCTCATATTCCAAGTGAGGGAAGTAGTTGACAGCTTATAGAGAGTGAGAGGTAACAACTTCCCTAATGGCTACTGTCAGTAACTTCCCTAATGGCTACTGTCAATAACTTCCCTAATGGCTACTGTCAATAACTTCCCTAATGGCTACTGTCAATAACTTCCCTAATGGCTACTGTCAGTAACTTCCCTAATGGCTACTGTCAATAACTTCCCCAATGGCTACTGTCAATAACTTCCCTAATGGCTACTGTCAATAACTTCCCTAATGGCTACTGTCAATAACTTCCCTAATGGCTACTGTCCCACACCTGACCATCATAATGATATTCACTTATTCTCCAGAAACCAATAAATTAATAGTGTTTTTTATTTACTTATTATTTATTTATTTATTTATTTATTTACTTATTTATTTATCTGCTTATTTATTTATCTACTTATTTATTTATGTATTTATTTATTTATTGACTTATTTCTTGCCGCCACGCCTCGGCCCCCAGATGGTGTGGTTGTGTTGTGGACGGGGTGTTGGCGCTGCTGCCCGCTGGTGAGAGATCGGCCGTTGCGGCGACCACCAACATCGACCTCCAGTGGCTGGCTGACCGTAGCTCCTCTGTCTGGACGGGAGGTGAGGATGAGTGTGTGTGTGTGTGTGTGTGTGTGTGTGTGCGCGCGCTGAGGTGAAATAATGAAAGTCAATCCTTGTCAACTCGATTTTATGTATCTTGATCTATCTATCTGTCCTGTCTGTCTGTCCTCTCTCTCTCAGTACTATATATAACCACCAGGGGGGGGGTGTTCACCACAGGGTACCTCGAGGACAGCAGCGTGAAGAGTGTCAGCGCTCAGCATCTGGTCTGTGAGGACGTCTGGGCGTTGGTCCTGTGCGGCTTCATCTTCCACGGCCGGGTCCTGTCGTCGTGTCCTCAGGCCGTCGGTCACGCTTGGCCCATCGTCTACACCCGGGCCAACTCCCTTTACTCAATCGTCGACCCCACGTAAGTCTTGGGGTTAACACGAGAGTTCTGGGTTATTTAACTCCTGTAAATATTTTGTAGTTATTTTGGTTCATTTTGTAGTTATTTTTTGTTAATTATGTAGATGTTTATTTTGTAGTTAATTTGTTCATTAATATAGTTATATTGGTTAATTTTGTAGTTATTTTTTGTTAATAATGTAGATTTTTTGTTCATTTTGTAGTTATTTTGTTTTATTTTGGAGTTAATTTGTTCATTTTGTAGATATTTTGCTCATTTTGTAGATAATTTGTTCTTTTTGTAGTTATTTCTGTTCATTTTGTAGTTATTTCATTCAGACTGTAGTCATTTTGCACTTGCCATAACCAAATTTGTTTACTCTGTACATTTTGTTTATATGTTCCTTTGATAACCTTTCAATATTATTTTCAGTCTTGTTTGTGGGACAGTAAGATGGCCATGTGTAAGATGGCCATGTGTAAGGTGGCCATGTGTAAGGTGGCCATGTGCTAAAGCTGACCTCCCTACACATATTATGACCTTGTAAAAATAACCTCTGACCTCTGACCCAGCGTATCGACCCTCCTGGAAAATATGCTTGGATGTTTAGCTTGTGGATGTGTATGTATGTGTGGATGGATGTATGTATGTATGTTATGTACGTATAGGTGATGTATACCACTGTAATGGTTCACCGTGAGTACCAAATACCAAGCTGATTAATTGGGCTTTGTTCTTCTGTTTATTATGATTTGTTGTTGACGAGCGATTGTAGTTACCAATCTCGTCACGCGCTCAAAGACCCGCCCACGGCAGTATGGTAATTTACCCGTCGACCAGAGTTCTAGTTTGTGGAATATTTGAGCGTTTTTTTTTTCTTAATTTCTCTGCACTTCTTGCCATGGTATAGACAATGGACGAGTTGACGGTCAGAATTTTTTCCTAAGATGGCCGGTCAATGGGTAAAGAAGACGCTTAAATTCACGATGGTGATGATATTTATAAATAAATTGGGCCAAAAAGTGTCAGAAATAAGGGTTACAGTTGGTAAAAAGTCCCGTGACTGTGAAAAGCTCTGTGATTGGTTGTGACGTTACTGACTGCGGTAAGCTTCCCAACGGGAGGCAGCCAGCTGTTGTTGTCCAACCTTCTCGGCTGATTGGCTCTGTAAATAAACATTATTACATAGTCTGCATGTCTAAGCACAGGCAGTCCCCGACTTACGACGGGGTTAGGGACCCAAATCCAGGTCATAACCCGAAAATGAGGAAATAATACATAGAAAATCTAAAATGAGTGTCTCTTTTTCTTCTCGTCACCACAAAACTCTCACTTTTAAGCTTGCCAGCCATTTTAAAGGGAAATACAAACGAAAATTTTGTCAGTACACAGCGCAATCACTAACGTTGGGACTCGAAAATATGTAAATTGAAAGAACTTTGGTAAGACTGCGGCGGTCGTATGTCAGGGTGGTTGTAAGTTGAGTAGGTCATAAGTACCTGTACAGTGATGACCAGAACTTAACATTTACCCACTACAGTCTATCTAGAATCTAAACATACAAATCTTATGGTAGTTAAAGTAAACTTTACCCATTAATTAATATAAATGATGATATATCCCAGTGGTTCATTAGTGAATCATCAAAACAATAACAGCACTATGTTGTCATGTTAACTAGCATCAGGCTTATCAAAACAAAGTCTAGACAATGTCATCACTTCTTAATTAACTTGTATCTTCTGATATAGTCTGTAAATGAACTGAAGAAAAAAGAGAAAGTCTCCCAGGCTGAGCTGGTGTGAACATGGGAGTTTTTTATGTCCATAAGAACATAAGACTGGAGGAACCTGCAGCGGGCCATACTGGTCAGTCCCATTTACACCCAACCCCTATCACTCATATATCCATCCAACCTCTGTTTGAAGCTGCTCTTAACTGCACATTTCTTCACTTACCAAATGTCCATGACTTAGACCATATAAAACACCTTAAAACTGAAGAGGCCATCCATCATTGGGCCATCCTTTCTATTACCTCCGACTGCAGCGGTGAGTTTGTTGGAGAGCGTCGTCTGCGGGGAAGGTGGTGACGTCATGGCGGCCCTGTTTGTAGAGAAATAAACTTATCTCGACTATTACAGCAGGACTTTAAACACATTATATACAGTATCACTCTATGAACGTGGCAGAGTGTATGTCTTTTGTTTACCCAGAACCGTCAACTCGTCCACTGAGCGGTACATGTTCTTCCTCGCTTAAAAACCTTCCTCTTCCTCGCTAATAAAGACATGTGTGTGTGTGTGTGTCAGTCAGTCAATGCTTGTGGTGTTCCTACATATAATTGTGGTGAGTAAAGGCTTATGCTATTGGCAAGAGGTGCTAAATGCTTCTGTACAGGAGGTCTCAGGCTAACATCTTTTATTATGCTTGATGGCCCTGAAGTATTATGACATTATTGATTTATAAATCCAGGTGAGTATTATATAGTGTGATAGGTGAACCCACTGAGAAACATCCTATTAGACTTTTTTCTCCCATCTATGAACACTGAGACTTTGGGTTCATTAATCTCAGGGTTCATTAGTCTCAGGGTTCATTAATCTCAGGGTTCATTAATCTCAGGGTTCATTAATCTCAGGGTTCATTAATCTCAGGGTTCATTAGTCTCAGGGTTCATTAATCTCAGGGTTCATTAATCTCAGGGTTCATTAATCTCAGAGCTCATAGATGGGAGAAAGGACTACAGTATATTTCTTGGTGAGTGTATAAAACATATTATGCTTATGCAGTCATTTACATGTCATAGCTTTCAGAATCAACCCAATGTTTTGTCTCGTATGTCTGTATATAAACTCGTGTGTATGTGTACGTGTGTAAACCATGTGTATGTGTGTATATACTCTGTGCGTGTATAAACCCGTGACTCCATTTTACAGGCCTCCAAATGACAATCGAGCATCTCTACTTCGCAGTGCAAGCCAAGTGAAGAAACCCATCAGTGAACGCGATGTTTACATGAACCTTTGGAGGAATTACGTCGTGCTAGCTTGTCGTGTAGTACCGGCCATCACCAAGACGCCGGTCATCAGATGTGCTTCTCCGGATATCAGCCTAGGGTAGGTCTCACGCGTACGCAAACTCGTGTACGCAAGTCTCACGTGTATGCCAACTCGTGTACGCAAGCTATTGGTCGTGACTGTTGGCCTTCTGTTGATGTCGGTCAGTGTAGCAGGAGAAACTAATGCTCGATCTAACGTAAACATTGGGTAAACTGGTGTGTCCTCTACTGAATGTTTACTGCGCATTATTACAACTAACCCAATCCAACCTAACATACTGTATAGCACTCTGGACATATTGTATAGCACTGTGGACATATTGTATAGCACTGTGGACATATTGTATAGCACTGTGGACATGTTGTATAGCACTGTGGACATATTGTATAGCACTGTGGACATATTGTATAGCACTGTGGACATGTTGTATAGCACTGTGGACATATTGTATAGCACTGTGGACATGTTGTATAGCACTGTGGACATATTGTATAGCACTGTGGACATATTGTAGAGCATGTAAAGAGATGAAAGTCCATTATAGCCAGGGTCAGTTAGGTGTGGATCATGCTCCAGACTATAGTGGAGAGAAAAGGACGTCAAAATGTCACACAAATCCCGAGAATTTATTAATACGTTTTGTTACGGAAGTTATAAGTTCTGTAGTGCTTATTTATGCTCTTTTTTTCACCGTACGTTATTTATTTTTAAGCTTCGAAGGTTTTAGTTTAATCCGGCGGCGTCTGACCCCAGGCTGTTATGTCGATGTGTTAATACGTTCGGTTCTTCAGGTCGTCTCCGGACAGTGGGGCGGGCGGCGATAAAGGCGGAGAGCGGCCATACCCCGGTTACTCCGTGTCTCCGCTCTGCCTCTACAAGCTCCTGGTTCCTCTCCTCCGATGCGAGAGTACGGACATGCGTGAGGCCGTTACTCTCGCCCTGGGGAAAATAAATCATTTTGCTCTGAGGTGAGTCGTGGTGGTGGTGGTGGTGGTGATGGTGGTGGTGGTGGTGATGGTGGTGGTGGTGGTGATGATGATGATGATGCATTCTCAGGGTTTTGTTTCTCACTCGTCGGGAATTACGTTGACAGGGTTGGGCATTGAGGTCAGCTTCAGGGGTTAGTTGGTCCACATGCCTCAATTACCTTAATGTGACCAATAGGATTACAGGGAAATCTTAATGGCTCTTCATCCCGTCAGCCTCTAGTCTTTGTGATTAGATTCAGTTAAATTGAGTTAGGTTAGGTTACCATGGGTTAAATTGAGTTAGGTTAGGTTACCATGGGTTAAATTGAGTTAGGTTAGGTTAGCATGGGTTAAATTAAGTTAGGTTAGGTTAAATTGAGTGGGGTTAGGTTAGGGCTAATAATATGTGCCTCATTTTATAAACAACCTAATATATCATGCGACTTCTATCATTATTTAAACTCCTTATTTACGTTAATAGAATCTTAATTACTCGGACGTTTTGGTTCACAGTGACTTGATGGAGGAGCTCTTCCCTTACATACGTGAGAGCATCGACCGGAAGCAGGAGAACATGCGTCGTAGGCGTCGTAGGGATGCCCTCAGGGTCACTCTCGTCAAGCTGTTCGAGATGATAGCTGAACAAGGCACTTTTGCTCTTAGGTAACACATTATTATTACTGGTGTTTGGGGTACAGTCTCAACCCTCCCTCAAACCACCTAGTGAAAGTAGGTGGTTTAATGTATACTTTCTCAACCTTCCCCTAAACTGTCAAGTGAAAGTAGGTGATTTAATGGATACTTTCCCTCTCTCCCCTGAACTGTCTAGTGAAAGTAGGTGATTTAACTCATACTTTGTCTCTCTCTTGTAGTGAAAGCGTTATTGATGGGGACACTGGCGCCCTGCTGAAGCGTTACCTCGAGTACATGGACGGCGCGAGGGTCTACCTGGAGAGTGAGAATGACAAGGACAATACACTGCTGCAGATCAAGACCCACTTCTGCCATTTTGTCCGCAAGCTGATTGGTAGTTTCTCGTGTGAGTATTCTCTGTGATTGGTGGATTTTTCGAGGGTATTTTGTGATTGGTAGCTTTTCCACTCATGATGGCAGCCGTCCCTACAGCTAACCTCCACTCATGATGGCAGCCGTCCCTATACATAACTTCCACTGATATTTGCTGGTATTTTAGAGTTAATATTTGAGAATCTGTGTTATTAATATTTATTTATTTCTTCTTGTCAGTGGAACAAAGACAGACGCTCATTCCCCGAAGCTTACGTAAGGGGCTGTTCTATCTGTTTGCCTCGTGGAGCGGCGTGTTTGGCGCACCGTTTGGGTTTAAGGTAAGTCGATAATTCTTCTAAACTATATTGTACAGTCTAAGTCGAGGGCGATGAAGACGTAACAGAGTAATGAGACTCTTCAGTGGTTCATGATTGCAGCCATCTTATGTCTCAGTGTGTTGACATTTAAGAGTATTGGAAACATATGATTGAGTGTTTGTTGATGTGAGTGATCTGACGTTCACCCAAGTCATTCTTCTCTTCCGCCAGAGTCCAGACTCGGGGAATCGTCAACCGTCTGAGTTTGAGCTGTGTGCCCTGCATGCCTCCAGCGCTGTACTGTGTTGCGGTCCCTCCTTTGACCCACAACTGCTGGCTGATGACGGCCACATATATCAGTGGCTCGATGCTCTTCTGGGCTCTCATGATGAAAAGGTATGTTTAGTCTATGTTTAACTTGTGTGGGGTAATCATTAGGGCAGGTGTACTGAACCAGGTATGTCAACACTCTTCAGGGTTCACTCAGACGACCCAGAGATATATTGAGAGCACTGTACTGACGACATGACCATTGTTTTACGATACACTTAAATTATATAAATGTAAACAATAAGTGAGTCACCATGAACACTGGGCGCATGACATCTCGCACTCAGACCAACGAACACACACACACACAACACCAGTGCCTGACTCTAGGCTAAATAACTGACTCAACACCACACCAGCACCTGACTCTAGGCTAAATAACTGACTCAACACCACACCAACACCTGACCGCAAGTTTACGAATAAATATAAAATAAATAGCCATGCAGGTGTGAACTTCCATATTTCTTTTGGCGTAATAATTAACAATTCACGGTAGATTAATAACCAACTGTATCTTACTATTATCAAACTATACATCGTTTTAGGCAGATAATTACCTGTAGTTAAGATGCGGGTTGTGTGAATATACTCTTCTCTGTTTATAGTGGAAGCTGTGATTTTTTATGACTGTGTGAAGTGGAGAAACATCACATTAATGTAGTCATAAGTTCACATTGTATATTACTGTACTAATATTATGAACAGGGATTTTATAATGGCATATGGTTATTGTATTTGCTTTTTCTTCAATACAGTACTCTAGTTATTAACAAAACTAACATTCATACTCTTGTAGTTAATATGAACGTCGCTGTTAACATGTGTATATAAGAAGTTAGTAGGAGTTGGTGAAACGTCTATTTAATGGACTACGTGGAGAGAAAGATCCTTTATATCGAGGTTCTGTTAGATGTGAAACCCCCATTTAATGAATTATATATGAAAGTTTGTTATATCGAGGTTTCACTGTATATGGTGCACCCACAAGCCAGTATGCAAGACTAGGGCCGCTGTTTTGACTTCACGATGTAAGGCAAATTATTATTTTTATAACCCCCATTCAGTGTGGTTGATGGTGTGCAGCGGCTGATTGGATAGAGATCTTTCCTGTTGGTTATTGGTTCATGGTTGGGAGACCCTACAGTCAACTGCTAAACACGAACCCAGAGATTCAGATTCGTGAACCCGAAGCCGTAAATGTATTGGATTCGTGAGTCTGAATCCCCGGGTTTGTGGTTGAGGACGAGAGGCGAACTGACCTCAGTTATTCTTACCACTTAATGGGCCAGGGAGCCTATTGAGGGTATACTTGGACATGATCACACTGGCCGTCTGCCTCTCTAATATAACTCAAAAACTGCCTAATATATCCTGTTAAATATATATACCTGAACTGGTTAAAACAGATGTGTATACCTGAACTGGTTAAAACAGATGTGTATACCTGAAGTGGTTAAAATAGTCTCGTATCATATATATCGTCTCCATTGCCGGAAAAATAGCCGGCTGACCCTCTCAAGTGTATATATCTAACATACTGGCCTTGTGGGTGTGTAAAGTGTCTTAGGGGAGCATTATAAGTGTGTAAAGTGTCTTAGGGGAGCATAATAAGTGTGTAAAGTGTCTTATGGAGCATTATAAGTGTGTAAAGTGTCTTAGGGGAGCATTATAAGTGTGTAAAGTGTCTTTGGGGAGCATTATAAGTGTGTAAAGTGTCTTAGGGGAGCATTATAAGTGTGTAAAGTGTCTTAGGGGAGCATAATAAGTGTGTAAAGTGTCTTGGGGAGCATTATAAGTGTGTAAAGTGTCTTGGGGAGCATTATAAGTGTGTAAAGTGTCCAGAGAGGAGGAAGAAGCATTATAATTATACTGGTGTCTGTCAGTTCGTCGTTGCATGTATGTATATAATTATTTTCTTGGAGGATTATGTTTTTATATGTCTTTTCTCTCTCTGTCTCTCCCCCCTTCCACATTGCACTCACAAGATTAAGAATAAGGTAAGTGAGAGTGTTGTGTGTGTTGATTTGTAGTGTGTTGTGTGTTGCTTGTCGTGTCAGTGTGTGTGTGTTGGTTTGTCGTGTGTTGTGTGTGTGTTGCTTTTGTCGTGTGTTGTGTGTAAACAGCTTAGTGTCGTGTGTGTGTGTGTGTAGCTTAGTGTCGTGTGTGTGTGTGTGTTGTTTGTGTACATGTGTGTGTGTAGCTTAGCATGTGTGTGTGTGTGTGTAGCTTAGTGTCGTGTGTGTGTGTGTGTTGCTTTGTCGTGGTGTTGTGTGTGTGTGTGTGTAGCTTATGTCGTGGTGTGTGTGTGTAGCTTAGCAAATGTGGTGTGTGTGTGTTGCTTTTGTCGTAGTAAGTTGTGTGTGTGTGTGTTGTTTGTCGGTAAGTTGTGTGTGTGTGTTGCTTTGTCGTGGTTGTGTGTGTGTGTGTGTAGCTTAGTGTCGCGGTGTGTGTGTGTTGCTTTGTCGTGTGTTGTGTGTGTGTGTAGCTAGTGTCGTGTGTGTGTAGCTTAGTGTCGTGTGTGTGTGTGTGTATGTGGAGCTTAGTGTTGTGTGTGTGTGTTTGGAGCTTAGTTTAGTTTTGTGTTTGTGTGTGTGTGGCTTAGTGTCGTGTGTGTTGTGTGTGGTTTAGTGTTGTGTGTGTGTTGTGTGTGTGTGGAGCTTAGTGTTGTGTGTGTGTGTTTAATGTCAATTTGTGTATGGGTTTAGTATATGTGTGTGCGTGCATGTATGTGTGTCCCTTCGCTATGTTTACCCGCTTCTTTCGCTACTTTTACCCGCTTCTTTCGCTACTTTTACACGCTTCTTTCGCTACTTTTACCCGCTTCTTTCGCTACTTTTACCCGCTTCTTTCGCTACTTTTACCCGCTTCTTTCGCTACTTTTACCCGCTTTTCCTTCTTTTACCTTCTTCCTTCTTTTACCGCTTCTTTCGCTACTTTTACCCTTCTTTCGCTACTTTTACTCGCTTCTTTACTACTTTTACCCGCTTCTTCATCTTTTTACCGCTTCTTTTCCTTCTTTTACCCTTCTTTAAGCTCTTTTACCTTCTTTTCTTCCACTTTACCTTCTTTTTCTTCTTTTACCGCTTCTTTCTTCTACTTTTACCGCTTCTTTTCTTTTACCACTTCTTTCACTACTTTTACCTTCTTCCTTCTTTTACCGCTTCTTTTGCTACTTTTACCCGCTTCTTCTTCACTTTTACCCTTCTTTCACTACTTTTACCCGCTTCTTTCGCTACTTTTACCCTTTCTTTCGCTTCTTTTACCCGCTTCTTTCACTACTTTTACCCGTTCTTTTCGCCATTGAAATACTAAACTAAACTGCTTTAATTTTTATCCATATTTTCCTCTGGTAAGTCTTAAACCTGTAGTCATCTTCTGTGTGTTTGGAGTGTTACTTCAGTGTTTGGAGTGTTAAGTCAATGTTTGGAGTGTTACGTCAAGTGTTTGGAGTGTTACGTCAGTGTTTGGAGTATTACATCAGTGTTTGGAGTGTTACGTCAGTGTTTGGAGTGTTACGTCAGTGTTTGGAGTGTTACATCAGTGTTTGGAGTGTTACTTCAGTGTTTGGAGTGTTACGTCAATGTTTGGAGTGTTCGTCAGTGTTTGGAGTGTTACGTCAGTGTTTGGAGTATTACATCAGTGTTTGGAGTGTTACGTCAGTGTTTGGGTGTTACGTCAGTGTTTGGAGTGTTCGTCAGTGTTTGGAGTGTTACATCAGTGTTTGGAGTGTTCGTCAGTGTTTGAAGTGTTACGTCAGTGTTTGGAGTGTTCGTCAGTGTTTGGAGTGTTACGTCAGTGTTTGGAGTGTTACTCATGTTTGGAGTGTTACATCAGTGTTTGGAGTGTTACGTCAGTGTTTGGAGTGTTCGTCAGTGTTTGAGTGTTACATCAGTGTTTGGAGTGTTACGTCAGTGTTTGGAGTGTTCGTCAGTGTTTGAAGTGTTACGTCAGTGTTTGAGTGTTACGTCAGTGTTTGGAGTGTTCGTCAGTGTTTGAGTGTTACTCAGTGTTTGGAGTGTTACATCAGTGTTTGGAGTGTTACGTCAGTGTTTGGAGTGTTACGTCAGTGTTTGAAGTGTTACGTCAGTGTTTGAGTGTTACGTCAGTGTTTGGAGTGTTACGTCAGTGTTTGGAGTGTTACATCAGTGTTTGGAGTGTTACGTCAGTGTTTGGAGTGTTATCAGTGTTTGAGTGTTACATCAGTGTTTGAAGTGTTACGTCAGTGTTTGAAGTGTTACATCAGTGTTTGGAGTGTTACATCAGTGTTTGGAGTGTTACGTCAGTGTTTGGAGTGTTACGTCAGTGTTTGATGTTACATCAGTGTTTGGAGTGTTACGTCAGTGTTTGGAGTGTTACATCAGTGTTTGGAGTGTTACATCAGTGTTTTGAAGTGTTACGTCAGTGTTTGAAGTGTTACATCAGTGTTTGAGTGTTACATCAGTGTTTGGAGTGTTACGTCAGTGTTTGGAGTGTTCGTCAGTGTTTGAAGTGTCCCTATAGAACCATTGGACTAACATTGAGACGTCACTAAGAAAAACAATATTCTTCCGTTTATTTTTATTTATTTATTTATTTATTTTAGGATGAATGAAAGTATAAAACACTGGATTTATTTTAGTGTTTAATGATAAGAAAATATAATACTTTTTCTAATAATGTAAATTGTTTTTAGTTTTTTAAATAGTTGTTGTTGTTGTGTGGTGGTGATGGTTGTTGTTGTGTGTGTGGTGTGGTGGTGGTGGTGGTGGTTGTTGTGTGTGTGTGTACAGATAGGCAGAAACAGACACACACAGTAAATATACATACATATGTCTGTATATGTGTGTAGTATCCAAGGAACGTATATTAAATCACCACCCAAGTACCCACACCCAATCCACACCACCCAAGTATCCACACCACAGTATCCACACCACCCAAGTATCCACACCCAAGTACCCACACCCACTCAAGTACCCACACCACCCAAGTACCCACACCACCCAAGTACCCACACCACCCAAGTACCCACACCACTCAAGTACCCACACCACCCAAGTAGCCACACCATCAAGTAGCCACACCACTCAAATGCCCACCACCAAGTACCCACACCACCCAAGTATCCACCACCCAAGTACCCACACCACCCAAGTACCCACACCCAGTACCCACACCACTCAAGTACCCACACCACCCAAGTAGCCACACCACTCAAGTAGCCACACCACTCAAGTGCCCACACCACCCAAGTAGCCACACACCACTCAAGTAGCCACACCACTCAAGTGCCCACACCACCCAAGTACCCACACCACCCAAGTATCCACACCATCAATACCCACACCACCCAAGTGCCACACCACCCAAGTGCCCACCACTCAAGTACCCACACCACCCAAGTATCCACACCACTCAAGTATCCACACCACTCAAGTGCCACCACCCAAGTACCCACACCACCCAAGTATCCACACCACCCAAGTACCACACCACCCAAGTACCCACACCACCCAAGTACCCACACCACCTAAGTGCCCACCACCCAAGTACCCACACCACAAGTACCCACACCACCCAAGTACCCACATTACCAGAGGGCCTTGTGATGTTCACTACCAGACACACTTGGTTTATATTGGTAACAGTGGACACACCCAATTGAATGGTAGTTGAAGCTTGAAGCCTATTTTATACATCAATTTAAGCTTTAAACCCATTATATCTACCAATTTAAGCTTTAAACTCATTATCCACCAATTTAAGCTTTAACGCCCATTATATCCACCAATTTAAGCTTTAAGTCCATTATATCCACCATTTTAAGCTTAGGTGATTGGTGATTGATCCACACAATGCCATTCCATTAAATCACCATCCTTCAGAGCCTCTCATTGGCCAAGGGTTGAACGACATGATTTAACGAGAGGCAGGATAGTATGTAGGGGCAGGATGGTATGTAGGGGCAGGATAGTATGTAGGGGCAGGATGGTATGTAGAGGCGGATGGTATGTGTTGAGGCAGGGATGGTATGTAGGGGCAGGATAGTATGTAGGGGCAGGATAGTATGTAGGGAGAGGATGGTATGTTGAGGCAGGATAGTATGTAGAGGGCAGGATGGTATGTAGGGGCAGGATGGTATGTAGAGCAGGATGGTATGTGAGGGGCAGGATGGTGTGTAGAGGGGATGGTATGTGAGGCAGGATGGTATGTGGGGCAGGATGGTATGTGGGGGCGGGATGGTGTGTGGGGGCAGGATGGTATGTAGAGGCAGGATGGTATGTAGGGCGGGATAGTGTGGGGCGGGATGGTGTGTAGGGGCAGGATGGTATGTGGGGCAGGGATAGTGTGTGAGGGGCAGGATGGTATGTGGGGCAGGATGGTATGTGGGGCAGATGGTATGTAGAGCGGGATGGTATGTGGGGGCAGGGATGAGTATGTAGAGGCAGGATGGTATGTTGGGCAGGGATGGTATGTAGGGAGGGGATAGTATGTAGGGGCAGGATAGTATGTAGGGGCGGATGGTATGTGGGGGCAGGATGGTATGTGGAGGCGGGATGGTATGTAGGGGCAGGATGGTATGTAGGGGCAGGATGAGTATGTAGAGGCAGGATGGTATGTGGGGGCAGGATGGTATGTAGAGGCAGGATGGTATGTAGAGGCAGGATAGTATGAAGGTTTGGTTTATTTACCGTGAGCTAGGACGGACGTGGCCTTAACATGATTACCGTGACCAATCTGTTATGGGACAAAACACCTTTATTATGTTACCTGATGATATTATTCTGTGGTGAACTTATACAGAGTCCTTCCTCCACCACTGCCAGTCTCCTGATAGACTCAGTTCCTAACCTAACCTAACTTAAATCAACATAGAATAGCCTAACCTAACCTAACAATATATGTAAACCTAACCCGTACTTAACATTTATAACACTTAACCTAACCCGTTTAACCTAACCCGTACTTAACCTAATCTGTACTTAACCTTATCTGTATAACCTAACCCAGTGTTTAAGGTGTAAAGCTGTCACCAACACAACCACCCCCTAAGTTAACGAGCTCGTGACCCAGTGTTAAGGAATAGTCCAGGAAGACGGACAACTCATCAACTGCACTGGCTAACCATTACCCAGAACACGATCACTTGTGAGGCAGGCATGCTAACTGTACACCACACAAATGCACAAATATATCTATACACACAAATGTATACACACACACACACACACACACATCATTAGGCTTTCTAGGCTGTATAAATGATAATAAAGCTCTGATATATTTGGTCATCAGCATAATAAAACTCTTGTGTTTATGAACGTACAGCAACATTACGTCTGTCCTGAGGCATAGTGTGTGTGTGTGTGTGTGTGTGTGTGTGTTTGTGTGTGTGTGTGTGTGTGTGTGTGTGTGTGTGTGTGTGTGTGTGTGTGTGTGTGTGAACAACTGTATATCCCCGTATATATACATACATGAATAAGAAATAACATGTATAAAGAACACTCAGGTGGTGATCATACGCCATCATGGTATCCTCAGATCTCACGGGCTGGCTCAGGAAACAATCTGATACTGCTGGGTTTAACCCTGACTCTGGGGCCGTCCCTGGACTGGGTGGTGCGACCGCTGCTATACCGCCACCCCAGAGGTTGCCGATGGGTGCTTCAACGCCCTGGCCACCATCTTCTCTCCGCCAGGTGAGTGGCGTCTTCTCCACTAGGGTCCTCTGAGGTGAGTCAGGGTGTGTGTGTTACTAATTCCTGCATGCGTACATATATACATCTGCACATACGGGAAGAGATGCCATACAGGGGGAGGAGAGGCAGGTAGAGGCAATTCAGCAGCAACAATACAGGTTAATGAGGTGTCAGGAACAGTTGGTCTATGACAATGTAACATACACACACACATACATACATACTGTACATACATACATACATACATACAGGTGGAAAAATAATAATTCAAACATATTGGTGAAAAAGTTTATATATTTTACCATAATTATTTGTTTATAATTTATATATTTTTTAATTTTTTTCTTACTTTTTTCCTCAACGTAAAAAATTAAAGCCTTCAGGATTTTTTTATTTGATTTTTTTCAATTTTGTTTTTGTCACCATAAAAACTAAGTCTTGCCACTGCTGCCACAGTACACCCGGATAATTTGCGGATATTTAATTTGGACCTGATTATTCGGATGACACCTAATATATGCAAATACCCAAAATGTCTAAGGTATTATTAAAGTTGCTGGCTATACTGTATCCACTTAAGATGAGGGCGGATAACGGTTTAAATCCACACTACTCAGTAGTGGGTCAGGAATTGCCAGTCGATGCCAACAACATATTAATTACGTTGTGGACACTGGAGTAACTAACACAATAGGTAGTCACAATTATTTTCCCTACATGGCCGTGTCTCAATATGTACTTTTTACCTAACCCAGCCTAACCAAACCCAGCTGACCTAACCTAACCTATCTAACCCTAACCTAACCTAATCTCTTGTGGTTTCTCTTCCACTTATAAACAGTATATTTCAGAGTGGGACATTATTTTACTGTGTGTTATAGTGTTGTAGTTATAGTGCTGTGGAGGTGTTATAGTGTTGTACTTATAGTGTTATGGTGTTGTAGTGATATGTAGTTTTTTTCACTATGCTACAGGTACAGGATGTAGTGCTGTATCTAAATTGAATTCTGCAAAGATAAATTACTTCACATACAGTTTTCTATCGCCCAGGGCAGTTTCTTCTCGACTGCCACCCGTAGCTTTGTTCTGGGGCTAGGTTAGGTTAGTGGTGGGTTAGGTTGGTTGGGTTAACATTTGGCGGTTAATGGTGGGTTAGGTTGAGTTGTGTTAGTTTAGATTAGGTTAGGTTAACATTTGGCTTGGTTAATGGTGGGTTGTGTTAGGTTGGGTTGTTAGTTTAGATTAGGTTAGGTTAACATTTGGCTTGGTTAATGGTGGGTTAGGTTAGGTTGTGTTAGTTTAGATTAGGTTAGGTTAACATTTGGCTTGGTTAATGGTGGGTTGGAGTTGTGTTAGTTTAGATTAGGTTAGGTTAACATTTGGCTTGGTTAATGGTGGGTTAGGTTAGGTTGTGTTAGTTTAGATTAGGTTAGGTTAACATTTGGCTTTGTTAATGGTGGGTTAGGTTAGGTTAGGTTGTGTTAGTTTGGATTAGGTTAACATTTGGCTTGGTTAATGGTGGTTAGGTTAGGTTGTGTTAGTTTAGATTAGGTTATGTCAGCAGTGAAATAATTAACCTTTCAGTAATAAGTTTACCCCATCACTACAGGGGAGTACTCATGTGATCACTACACGGCCATCATGAACGTCACCTGCTACACAGGCTGCCGAGAGCCTCCATACATGAGACGGCTCCAGCTGCTGCAGGTACTGGACAAGAGGTTCTTGCGCCGCCACCCCTCTTGTTGGTGATGCTGAAGTGCATGCTCTCTACCGCGTTGCTTGACCTAGCGTTAACCCGACCTGGCGTTAACCTGGCGTTAACCCGACCTAGCGTTAACCTAACCTAGCGTTAACCCGACCTGGCGTTAACCCAGCCTACGCGTTAACCCGACCTAGCGTTACCAACCTAGCGTTAACCTGACCTAGCGTTAACCCAGCCCTGCGTTAACTTGACCTAGCGTTAACCCGACCGTAGATGCCGACCTGGCGTTAACCCGACCTGGTACTTCAACCTAGCGTTAACCCGACCTAAGCGTTAACCCGAACCTAAGCGTTAACAACCTAGCGTTAACCTAACCTGGCGTTAACCCGACCTGCATTTGGCAACCTAGCGTTAGCCCCAACCTAGCTTAACCCGACCTAACCTGACCAAACCTAACTTAACAACCTAAGATAACCTAACTTCTTCAACATAACCTAACGTTAACCTCACTAACACACTAACTGCGTTAACCAAACCAACCTAACCTAACTAACCTAACATCTCTCTCCCTCAGCTCTGTTTAAGTAAATAATAATCAAACAAACAAAGAAACAAACACATGTAAACAGGAAATGTAAACAATGAAAGATTTTGTTTTCTTTATTTACACTACACAGGTTTACTACACTCATGTACACACACACACACACACAGACAGACAGACATTACACACACACACAGACACACACACAGACACACACACACACACACACACACACACACACACACACACACACACACACACACACACAGGTATTTAAATACAGATTGGCTGGTCATCTGGGCCCCTAAATGGTTCTACCTGTAGCCATTAGTCTACTTGGGCCCCAGTTCATACAGGCCCCTGATTATAGTGGTTGGGATGGGATAAGCAGCTGTTAGGGATGGGGCCCGATGAGACCCAGGCCCTATATGACTGGGGCCCATTGTCTGTCTGTCTGTCTGTAGATAAAATGACGTGAAATTAATCAGTGTTTTAATGTGACATGTGGCATATAGTTTGTGCCTTGACATGACATAACATGACATGACACCCATTACTAAGTGATAAGATGACTAGAGATGAAATCCTAATGGGCCCCAGATGAAGTGGTTAGGTTAGGTTAGGTTGGGTTGGGTTGGGTTAGGTTAGGTTGGGTTGGGTTAGGTTAGGTTAGGTTAGGTTAGGTTAGGTTAGGTTGGGTTGGGTTAGGTTGGGTTAGGTTGATATAAATTCTGTTGGGGTTAGTTTAAACATTACTGGGTTAAGTTAAGCTAGGTTTAACTTGTATGGGGCCCAGTAGGACAGACGGGCGGACCCTTAGACATCATACATAATCGTCCAGTAAATAATTCTACAATACATTTTTTTTGACATCATATTATTTTATATAGTTACGATTATTTTATTTATATTTTTATTATTTATAAATTGTTTTCTGTTGACACTTAACACTGATAACTTAACCTAAGGCCTAGTGAACGGTGCTTAACAACCCTGGTGGTAGTTGAAGCACCTAAACCTAAGGCCTAGCGAACGGTGCTTAACAACCCTGGTGGTAGTTGAAGCACCTAAACCTAAGGCCTAGTGAACGGTGCTTAACAACCCTGGTGGTAGTTGAAGCACCTAAACCTAAGGCCTAGCGAACGGTGCTTAACAACCCTGGTGGTAGTTGAAGCACCTAAACCTAAGGCATAGCGAACGGTGCTTAACAACCCTGGTGGTAGTTGAAGCATTCTGAAACCAAGGTTTGAAGCTAATGGTGCTAACAACCCAGGTGGTAGTTGAAGCACCCAAACTAAGGTTTAGCGAATGGTGCTTAATAACCCTGGTGGTAAAGTTAATACCTAAACCTAAGGTTTGACGAACGGCGCTTAACAACCCGGTGTAGAAGTGAAGCACCTAAACCTAAGGCCTAGCGAACGGTGCTTAACAACCCTGGTGGTAGTTGAAGCACCTAAACCTAAGGCCTAGCGAACGGTGCTTAACAACCCTGGTGGTAGTTGAAGCACCTAAGCCTAAGGCCTAGTGAACGGTGCTTAACAACCCTGGTGGTAGTTGAAGCACCAAAGCCTAAGGCCTAGTGAACGGTGCTTAACAACCCTGGTGGTAGTTGAAGCACCTAAGCCTAAGGCCTAGTGAACGGTGCTTAACAACCCTGGTGGTAGTTGAAGCACCTTAAACTAACACTACAATAGCTGGTTTATAATTTGATTACCCTTTACCATATCCCAATGGGCCCCAGATCAAATAGGCCCCAGATCTAATGGGCCCCAGATCTAATGAGCCCCAGATCTAATGGGCCCCAGTTCTAATGGGTCCCAGTTCTAATGGGCCCTTAGGATCTAATGGCCCTTAGATCTACGTACCCAGATCTAATGGGCTCCTCAGGTTCTAATGGGCCCCAGTTCTAATGGGCCCCAGATCTAATGGGGTCCCCAGATCTAATGGGCTCCCAGGTTGAGCCCCAGAGATCTAATGGGCCCCAGTTCTAATGGGCCCCAGTTCTAATGGACCCCAGGATGAGCCCCAGATCTAATAGGCCCCTACATTTAAAGGGTCCTAGATCTAATGGACCCCAGGATGAGCCCCAGATCTAATAGGCTCCTATATTTAAAGGGTCCTAGATCTAATGGACCCCAGGATGAGCCCCAGATCTAATAGGCCCCTAGATTTAAAGGGTCCTAGATCTAATGGACCCCAGGATGAGCCCCAGATCTAATAGGCCCCTAGATTTAAAGGGTCCTAGATCTAATGGACCCCAGGATGAGCCCCAGATCTAATGAGCCATAGTAATAATCTTATTGACGTGGACGAGATCTTGCAGCCAATCAGAACGAGTCCTCCTCCTCGTTATGTACGGTGGTGTTGAGGCCATTAGACGTGGGCGAGGCGTGGGTGGAGGGGCCTGGTTGTGGGTGGAGGGCATCAGGAGGGTGCTGAGAGGCGGTGTCCTGATGTTGAGGCCCTTCCCAGAGCTGTATGTTGAGCATGACCGAACCTGGAGGAGAGTCACATGACAACAACAACAATAACAACAACAACAACAACAACAATAATAATAATAATAATAACTAATAATAAAAATAATTATAATAATAATAATAATTAACGGTTTATTGAAAGATCATGACAGCCAGAAGGGTGACAATATACAGTTACATATAATTGGTGATATGGGTCACTTGATTGACCAATAATATAAGTGATACAAATATAATAACTAGGTGGGGAGAAGGTCATACTACAGGCCAGTTCAACATAGTCTAATAGACCCCAGGTTTATTGGGCCCCAGGTTTATTGGACCCCAAGTCTAATAGACCCCAGGTTTATTGGGCCCCAAGTCTAATAGACCCCAGGTTTATTGGGCCCCAAGTCTAATAGACCCCAGGTTTATTGGGCCCCAAGTCTAATAGACCCCAGGTTTATTGGGCCCCAAGTCTAATAGACCCCAGGTTTATTGGGCCCCAAGTCTAATAGACCCCAGGTTTATTGGGCCCCAAGTCTAATAGACCCCAGGTTTATTGGGCCCCAAGTCTAATAGACCCCAGGTTTATTGGGCCCAGTTTTGTTGGACATCAAAGAGTTAAATAATAGGCTATGGTTTAACCCTAATAATGTGTCAGGTCAGGTCTGGTCTGGTCAGGTCAGGTCAGGTCAGGTTAGGTTAGGTTAGGTTAGGTGGGGTTAGGTTAGGTTAGGTGGGGTTAGGTTAGGGTTAGGTGGGGTTAGGTTAGGGTAGGTGGGGTTAGGTTAGGGGTGAAGGAGAGTGGTGACAGGAGGGTAGTTGAGGAGGAGGGCGTGTGATAACATGGTGAGAGGGTGATGGACGGGTGAGGTGAGGAAGGAAGGATGAAGTGACACGAGTGGGGTGGAGATTTAAAATATGAGAGGGAGGGAGAGAGAGAGGAGAGGAGGGAGAGAGAGAGAGGAGAGAGACAGATCCCAAACACTCTCTCTCTCTCTCTCTCTCTGTTTTCAAGCTATTAATAATCCGTACTCAAATCTAACTGGAAATTAACCAAATATTTTACCCATATTTAACTAACCTAACACTAACCTGACCTGACCTGACCTGACCTGACCTGACCTAACCTGACACTACTACTAAACCAAACCAGTTTTCCTCTGAAGTTTCTAATGAAGGATTATTATTATTATTATTTGTTTAAGTCAATTTATTTCACTTTGTTTTATACAGTATTTTTTTCTTGTTTATTTTAGTTATTATTTATTAACTTATTATTTTATTAGAATATAATTTAGTATAATGATTAACTTCTTAAATAAATAAACATAATGAAATACTTCCTTTTACTGCGACAGTTTTATTACGTTTGAGATTGGGAATTTACGGAAATAAAAGAAATTACCGGAAGTAAAGGAAGAAAACACTTGGGGTAGTTAACAAAAAGTGCAAAGGAAGTGCAGGGGAAAAGTGCAGGAAAAAGTAGGAAAAGTAAAAAAGTGCAGGAAAAATCTGCAGGAAAAGTGGGAAGTAAAATTGTTGAATAAAAAAGGAGGAAGAAAACGTGGAAATTTATTAGAGGCTCGGGAAATAAGTTCATTGTGCGGTAAGTGACATAAATATGGGCCGGGGGGCGGATCCAGGAAAGATGGTCTAATGGCTGCTGTATTGTATAGGTTAGGTTAGGTTAGGTTAGGATACACATAGGTTAGGATACATACATACATAGGACATTACATTCTCTCTCTCTCTCTTCACACATTTTTGGCTCCTCGTAATATTGGAACATTTTATAGTACCCTATGACCCAGACTCACAAAACTCATAAAGACTCTCAAAATACTCCCCAAGACTCCCCAAGACTCACAAAGACTCACAATATACTCCCCAAGACTCACAAAAGACTCCCAAGCCCCACAAAGACTCCACAAAGACTCACAAAGACTCGCCAAGACCCACAAAGACTCACAAAAGACTCACAGACTCACAAAGACTCAAGACTCAAGCCCACAAAGACTCACAAAAGACTCACAGACTCACACAAACTCACCAAAGACTCACAGAAGACTTCCCAAGACTCATGGACCCACAAAGACTTATAGTAAACACAGGTGCAATAGCGTCACCCACCTGTTATTAGCGTCACCCACCTGCAATTAGCGTCACCCACCTGCAATTAGCGTCACCCACCTGCAATTAGCGTCACCACCGCAATTAGCGTCACCCACCTGCAATAGCGTCACCCACCTGCAATTAGCGTCACCCACCTGCATTAGCGTCACCCACCTGCATTAGCGTCACCCACCTGCAATTAGCGTGACCCACCTGCAATAGCGTGACCCACCTGCATTAGCGTCACCCACCTGCATTAGCGTCACCCACCTGCATTAGCGTCACCCACCTGCATTAGCGCGTCACCCGACTAGCGTCACCCACCTGCATTAGCGTCACCACCTGCATTAGCGTCACCCACCTGCAATAGCGTCACCCACCTGCAATTAGCGTCACCCACCTGCATTAGCGTCACCCACCTGCAATTAGCGTCACCCACCTGAATTAGCGTCACCCACCTGCAATTAGCGTCACCCACCTGCAATTAGCGTGACTCACCTGCAATTAGCGTCACCCACCTGCAATTAGCGTCACCCACCTGCAATTAGCGTCACCCACCTGCAATTAGCGTCACCCACCTGCAATTAGCGTCACCCACCTGCAATTAACGTGACTCACCTGGTGATTGCGTTCAAAAGTGGACAGGGTGGCATCCTGGTAACTCCCGTGACCTGTGGGCGGCCGAACGATGGTGGTGGTGGGTGGTGGTCGGGAAGCGTCGTCGGGCGGTGACACACAAGCCACCCACCGCCCGACGGAAGTTCTGCCCGGTGACGCAGTAGAGAAGGAAGTTGATGGCGAAGTAGTGTAGAATAAGAGGGTAAATGTCTGCTGTAGGGTGTAGAACAGCGCTTCTCATCTCTCCGCATAGTAAGGGGTTAGGTTAGGTTTGGGTTGGGTAGGTTAGGTTTTGGTTGGGTTTGGTTGGTTTGGGGTTAGGTTTGGTGGTTTTGGTTGGTTAGGGTTGGTTGGGTAGTTTTGGTTGGGTTGGTGGTTTTGTGTTTTGGTTGGTTTTGTTGGGTTGGGTAGGTTTGGTTGGGTTAGGTTGGGTGGGTTGGTTTTGTTGGGTTGTGTTTTGGTTGTTGGAGGTTTTGGTTGGTTTTGTTGGTTTTGTTGGGTTGGGTAGGTTTTTGTTGGGTTAGGTTGGGTTGGGTTTGTTTGGTTGGGTTGGGTAGGTTTTGGTTGGGTTGGGTTGGTTTTGGTTGGGTTTGGTAGGTTTGGTTGGGTTTGGTTGGTTTTTGGTTGGGTTGGGTTGGTTTTGGTTGGGTTGGGTTGGTTTGGGTTGGGTAGGTTTTGGTTGGGTTGGTTGGTTTTTGGTTGGGTTGGTAGGTTTGGTTGGGTTGGGTGGTTTTGGTTGGGTTGGTTGGTTTTGGTTGGGTTGGGTTGGTTTGGTTGGGTTGGGTAGGTTTTGGTTGGGTTTGGTTGGTTTTGGTTGGGTTGGGTTGGTTTGGTTGGGTTGGGTTGGTTTTGGTTGGGTTGGGTTGGTTTTGGTTGGGTTGGGTTGGTTTTGGTTGGGTTTGGTTGGTTTTGGTTGGGTTGGGTTGGTTTGGTTGGGTTGGTGGGTTTTGGTTGGGTTTTGGTTGGTTTTGGTTGGGTTTGGTTGGTTTTGGTTGGGTTGGGTTGGTTTGGTTGGGTTGGGTGGAGGTTTTGGTTGGGGTTTGGTTGGTTTTTGGTTGGGTTGGGTTGGTTTTTGGTTGGGTTGGGTAGGTTTTTGGTTGGGTTTGGTTGGGTTTGGTTGGTTTTGGTTGGTTTTGGTTGGGTTTGGTTGGTTTTGGTTGGGTTGGGTAGGTTTGGTTGGGTTTGGTTGGGTTTGGTTGGTTTGGTTGGTTTGGTTGGGTTTTGGTTGGTTTGGTTGGGTTGGGTTGGGTTTGGTTGGTTTTGGTTGGTTTGGTTGGGTTTTGGTTGGTTTTGGTTGGTTTGGTTGGGTTTTGGTTGGTTTTGGTTGGGTTTGGTTGGGTTTGGTTGGTTTGGTTGGTTTTGGTTGGGTTTTGGTTGGTTTTGGTTGGTTTTTGGTTGGGTTTGGTTGGGTTTAGTTGGGTTTGGTAGGTTTGGTTGGGTTTGGTTGGGTTTGGTTGGTTTTGGTTTGGTTTGGTTGGGTTTGGTTTGGTTTGGTTTGGTTTTGGTTGGGTTTGGTTGGTTTTGGTTGGTTTGGTTGGGTTTGGTTGGTTTGGTTGGTTTGGTTGGTTTTGGTTGGGTTTGGTTGGTTTGGTTGGTTTTGGTTGGGTTTGGTTGGGTTTTGGTTGGTTTGGTTGGGTTTTGGTTGGTTTTGGTTGGGTTTGGTTGGGTTTGGTTGGTTTTGGTTGGGTTTGGTTGGTTTGGTTGGTTTTTGGTTGGTTTTGGTTGGGTTTTGGTTGGGTTTTGGTTGGTTTGGTTGGGTTTTGGTTGGTTTGGTTGGGTTTTGGTTGGTTTGGTTGGTTTTGGTTGGGTTTGGTAGGTTTTGGTTGGGTTGGGTAGGTTTGGTTGAGTTTGGTTGGGTTTGGGTAGGTTTTGGTTGGGTTGGGTGGTTTGGTTGGTTTTGGTTGGTTTTTGGTTTGGTTGGTGGGGTTTTGGGTTTGGTTGGGTTTGGTGGGTTTGGTTGGGTTTGGTTGGGTTTGGTTGGTTTGGTTGGGTTTTGGTTGGTTTGGTTGGGTTTGGTTGGGTTTGGTTGGTTTTGGTTGGGTTTTGGTTGGTTTTGGTTGGTTTGGTTGGTTTTTGGTTGGGTTTTGGTTGGTTTTGGTTAGGTTTGGTTGGTTTGGTTTGGTTTTTGGTTGGGTTTGGTTGGGTTTTGGTTGGTTTTTGGTTGGGTTTTGGTTGGTTTGGTTGGTTTTTGGTTGGTTTTGGTTAGGTTTTGGTTGGTTTGGTTGGTTTTGGTTGGGTTTGGTTGGGTTTTGGTTGGTTTTGGTTGTGTTTGGTTGGTTTTGGTTTGGTTTGGTTGGGTTTGGTTGGTTTTGGTTGGTTTGGGTTGGGTGGTTTGGTTGGTTTTGGTTGGGTTTTGGGTTGGTTTTGGTTGGGTTGGGTGGGTTTTGGTTGGTTTGGTTGGGTTTGGGTGGGTTTGGTTGGGTTGGGTGGGTTTGGTTGGTTTTGGTTGGTTTTTGGTTGGGTTGGTGTAGGTTTTGGTTGGGTTTGGTTGGTTTTGGTTGGTTTTGGTTGGTTTTGGTTGGGTTGTTGGGTTTGGTTGGGTTGGTTGGTTTTGGTTGGTTTTTGGTTGGTTTGGTTGGTTATTTGGTTGGTTTTTCGTTGGTTTTGGTTGGTTTTGGTTGTATTTGGTTGTAGTAATATCATCATGAGTGCCACATACTAACACCAACCTCTCCCCCCTCCCCCCCCACAGGTAGTGCCAGGCAGCGGACGAGGGTGGCACATGTTCAGGGTGGTGCCACATGAGAATGGCACTCTGGGAGGAGACCTCAGTGCCAGAGTGCCACTTGATTATGAAAACCCGACCCACAAGAGAGGGTTCAGATTCAGAGTCCAAGTCTCTGATATGGTAGGTTGAGAATCCCTGTGTCATATGTGTCATGTGTGTGTCATATGTGCTGTGTGTCATGTGTTGTGTCATATGTGTTGGTTGTGTCATATGTGCTTGTGTCATGTATTGTATCATATGTGTTGTGTCATATGTGCTGTGTGTGTCATATGTGTACCTTCTGTCATGTGCTTGTGTCATATGTTTTTAACTACAATAATATGCTGTGTCATATGTGTGCCTTCTGTCATGTGTATGTCTTATGTATGCAGCTATGTCATGCTGTGTCATATGTGCCTTCTGTCATATGCTGTGTCATATATTAGTACCTTCTAATCGTAACTGTGTCATATGTGTACCTTCTGTCGTATTAACTTATTGTCATATGTTGTACCTTCTGTCGTATTAACATGTCATATGTGTACTTATTCTGTCATGTGCTGTGTCATATGTGTGCCTTCTGTATCATGTGCTGTGTCATATGTGTACCTTCTGTCATGTGCTGTGTCATATCATGTACCTTCTGTCATGTGTGTGTCATGTGTACTTATTCTGTCATGTGCTGTGTCATATGTGCAATACTGTCATGTGCTGTGTCATATGTGTGCGCTATCATGCTGTGTCATATGTGTGCAGCCTGTCATGTGCTGTGTCATATGTGCCTTCTGTCATGCTGTGTCATGTACTATACATCATGTGCTTAATGATAATATGTAGACCTTCTGTCTGTGCTTATTGTCATATGTGTACCTTCATCATGTGCTGTGTCATGTGCAACTCTGTCATATTAACAATGTCATATATGCCTTCATAATCATGTGCTGTGTCATATGTGCAGCTTCTGTCATGTGTATTAATCATATGTGTACCATCTGTCATGCTGTGTTATGTATTGCCTTCTGTCATGTGCTGTGTCATATGTGTACTTATCTGTCATGTGTCATGTGTACCTTCTGTCATGTGCTGTCTGTCATGTGCCTTCTGTCATGTGCTGTGTATATGTGTACCTTCTGTCATGTGCTGTGTCATGTGTACCTTCTGTCATGTGCTGTGTCATATGTACCTTCTGTCATGTATGTGTCATATGTGTACCTTCTGTCATGTGTCATATACCTGTCATGTATTATATGTGTACCTTCTGTCATGTGCTGTGTCATATGTATTCTGTCATGTGTGCTGTGTGTCATATGTGTACCTTCTGTCATGTGCTGTGTCATATGTGTGTCATGTGCTGTGTCATATGTACCTTCTGTCGTATTAACAATCATATGTGTACCATCTGTCGTAGTAACTTGTGTCATATGTGTACTTGTCTGTCATGTGCTGTGTCATATGTGTACATCTGTCATGTTGTGTCATATATGTGCCATCTGTCATGCTTATGTCATGTGTATCTTCTGTCGTAATGTATATCATATGTGTACCTTCTGTCGTAATGCTGTGTCATATATGTACCATCTGTCATGTGCTGTGTCATATGTGTACCTTCTGTCATGCCTCATATATGTGCATATATGTACTTGTGTCATATATGTACCTTCTGTCATGTAACTTGTCATGTGTGTGCAATATAAGCCAATGCTGTGTATGTGTACCATCTGTGTATATATCATATGTATACATATAAAGTAATGCTGTGTCATATATTTTATGTGTGCTGTGTAACTATGTGTCATATGTGTACCCTTCTGTCATGATAACATGTCGCTATGTGTACCAGCCTATCATGTGCTGTATATCCATATAATGTACCTTCTGTCATGTGCTTAGCGTCATATGTGTATTTATTCTGTCATGTGCTGTGTCATATATTATTGCAGCTTCCTGTCATGTGCTGTAATCATATGTGTGTCTGTCATGTGTGTCATATGTGCCTTCTGTCATGTGCTTGTGTGTCATATGTGTGTGCTGCATCTGTCGTAACTGTGTCATATGTGTACCTTCTGTCATGTGCAGTGTCATATGTGCTGTCTGTCATGTGCTGTGTCATGTGTGCCTTCTGTCATGCTGTAGTGTATATGTGCAGCCTGTCATGTGCTGTGTCATATGTGTACCTTCTGTCATGTGCTGTGTCATGCCTTCTGTCCTTTGTGTCATATATGTACCATCTAATATATGCTGTGTCATATGTGCCTTCTGTCATGTGGCTGTCATATGTGTACCTTCTGTCATGTGCTGTGTTATATGTGTACCTTCTAATGACAACCCTTGTTATATGTGCTTCTGTCATGTGCTGTGTCATATGTGTGCAGCCTGTCATGTGCTGTGTCATGTCATGTACCTTCTGTCATGTGCTGTGTCATATGTGTACCTTCTGTCATGTGCTGTATTATATGTGTACTTCTGTTATAATGCTGTGTCATATATATATTGTACCTTCTCATGTGCTGTGTCATATATTATGCCTTCTGTCATGCTGTGTCATATGTACCTTCTGTCATGTGCTGTGTCCTCTTGAACCTTCTGTTCAGCAATAACTTATGTGTCATATGTGTGCCTTCTGTCATGTGTGTGTCATATGTGTACCTTCTGTCTTAATACTGTGTCATATGTGTATCTTCTGTGTAGTATAATGATAAGCTATGTAATGTGCAGCTTCTGTCATGTGCTGTGTCATATGTACCGTCTGTCATGTGCTGTGTCATGTACCGTCTGTCTGTGTGCTGTAGTCATATGTGTACCTTCTGTCATGTGCTGTGTCATATGTGTACCTTCTGTCATGTGCTGTGTCATATGTGTACCGTCTGTCATGTGCTGTATGTCATATGTGTACCTTCTGTCATGTGCTGTGTCATATATTTTCTGTCATGTGTCATATGTATCTTCTGTCATGTGCTGTGTCATATGTACCTTCTGTCATGCTGTGTCATATGTGTCTGTCATGTGCTGTGTCATATGTGTACCTTCTGTGTGCTTATGTCATATGTGTGCAACATGCATGTATGTTATATGCCATCTGTCATGTATATGTTATATATGTACCTTCTGTCATATGCTGTGTCTTTCTTCTTCTGTCATGCTGTGTCAGCATGTGCCTTCCTGTCATGTGTGTATGTCATATGTGTACAGCTTCTGTCATGTGCTGTGTCATATGTGTATCTTCCTGTCATGTGCTTATGTCAGCCTATGTACATACACAATGTAATGCTGTATGTCATATGTATATCTTCCTGTCATAGTAACATGTCATATGTACCTTCTGTCATGTGCTGTGTCATATGTAGCCTGCGTCTGTCATGTGTATGTGTATGTGTACCTTCTGTCCATGTGCTGTGTCATATGTGCAATAATGTGTATGTTATATGTGTACACATCTGTCATGTGCTGTGTTATATGTGTGTACCTTCTGTCATGTGTCCATATGTGTACCTTCTGTGTCATGTGCTGTGTCCTATGTGAACAACCTATCATGCTGTCATATATTAGCACATTCTATGTGTCTATATATATATGTATCATGTGCTTATCTTATATGTTAACACTTCTGTCATGTTAACTATTAATCATATGTGTACCTTCTGTCATGTAACATGTTATATGTATGCACCTTCTGTCATAATACTGTGTTATATGTACCTTCTGTCATAATGCTTGTGTCATATGTGTACCTTCTATCATGTGCTGTAGTATATGTGTACCTTCTGTCATGTGCTGTGTCTCATATGTACCTTCTGTCATGTGCTGTGTCATATATTGTACCTTCTGTCATGTGCTGTATCATATATTGTACAACCTGTCTGTGCTGTGTTATATATGTACCTTCTGTCATGTGCTGTGTTATATGTGTGTACCTTCTGTCATGTGCTGTGTCATATGCTGTACCTTCTAATAAAATGCTGTGTCATATGTGTACAATAAATGTGCTGTCATATGTACCTTCTATCATGTGCTGTGTCATATGTGTGCATTCTTATCGTAATAACTTATTGTCATATGTGTATCTTCTGTCATGTGCTTGTGTTATATGTGTGCCTTCTGTCATGTGCTGTATATGTATCTCTGTCATGTCATATGTGTACAACTCTGTCATGTGCTGTGTCCATATGTGGCTGTCATGTGCTGTCGTGTGTCTTCTGTCATATATATATCTTATGTACTATTCTGTCATGCTATGTTATATGTGTGCATACTGTCATGTGTGCTGTGTTATATGTGTGCAGCTATGCATGTGCTGTATATGTGTACAGCCTTCTGTCATGTGCTGTGTCATGTGTGCCTTCTGTCATGTGCTGTGTTATATGTGTATCTTCTGTCGTAACATGTTATATGTGTACCTTCTGTCATGTGTGTGTTATATGTGTGCATACATCGTAACATGTTATATGTGTGCAGCTTCTGTCATGTGCTGTCTGTCATATGTGCGCCTGTCATGTGCTGTGTTATATGTGTACCTTCTGTCATATGCTGTGTCATATGTGTATATCTGTCATGCTGTGTTATATGTGTACCTTCTGTCATGTGCTGTGTTATGTGTGTGTCTTCTGTCATGTGCTGTGTTATATGTGTGCCTTCTGTGTGTGTATGTTATGTGCCAGCCTGCAATAAAGTAATGCTGTGGTGTTATATGTGTGCCTTCTGTCATGTGCTGTCTGTCATGTGTACCTTCTGTCATGTGCTGTATGTATATGTGCCTTCATCATGCTTGTGTCATATGTGTACCTTCTGTCGTGATGCTGTGTTATGTGTGTGCAGCCCTGTCATGTGCCCATGTTTATATGTGTATTTCTGTCTGTGCTGTGTCTGTGTGTATATACAATGTCATATTAACAGTAATTATATGTGTGCCTTCTGTCGTAATGCTGTGTTATGTATTATTTACTTACTACAATACATGTGCTTATTGTTATATGTGTATCTTCTGTCATGTGCTGTGTTATATGTGCATCTGTCATCAATAACAATTATATATATTATTTTTATTCTGTCATGTGCTGTGTTATGTGTGCCTTCTGTCATATTAACTTGTGTATATGTGTCTGTCTAATGTATGTATTGTCATATGTGTACCTTCTGTCATTAAT